AGATTAGGAGCTGCAAGAGAAGAAGATAAAGTGCATTTATTGTCATCATCACCCTTTTAAAAGGTGACAATGAACCCTAACTATCACAGGGAGGGCAAAACCAGAAATAACCTTGAATAAAATGACAAGAAAAGACACAAAAAAAAAGAAATTATTTTATTAATAAAGAAAATTGATACATTAAGGATCTGTTTGGGGCAACTGTAGCTTATTGAATAATCTGTTGATAATTTGATTAAAAATAATCAGCTAATAAGCTAAGTGCGGTAGCTATTTTAAATTTTTATTTTTTTGGAAAAGTCAGACCGCAATCAGAAAGCTGTCACCGCACCTAGACAGGTCTAGGTGTGAAAACAAAGTTTTTCAGCGTTTTGAAAACACATAAACTGCCAAAACGCAGTTTACCCAAAAAGGCCAGGTACGTTTTCAAAACGGCACCGCACCAAATAAGCCGCCCCAAACAGACCCTAAGTTTCATTCCAGCTTAGCCCGAAGGAAAGAAATAGCTACAAGGTTCCGACGCAACCTCTGCCTAAACTTGACCCAAACGAAGCAATCAATGAAACAAAAATTCCCCCTTGGACTTAAAATGATCCAACTTACTGGACTTATCTTGAACCTAAGAAGTTTGAAACTCCTCCCGCAGATTCACAAGCTCTTGGTGAAAGGTCGGTCGTCATTTCCAGCATCACAGTAACCTCTTCTGCTAGTCTCGCCATGCGAGATGACATGGCGCTTGCCTCCACACCTTGTTGTTTACCTGCCTTGCGCGTGAAGAAACATTTGATTTCATCTGGGAGGCGAGCCAACACCTCGCATTCTACCAGAATGCCCTCAAAACTACTCAAGCGTGTCTCTGAAGGAGGAGGAACGTCCTTGGGAGGATTGACTCCCCCATACTCATTGGAAAGTCTTTTGTCTCCTTCTGCCACCCCTTTTTAAACACAAAAATCAGATAGATAGTCAGCTTATTGGAGCAACTTATATGAATTAGTTGTTTATCAGTAGATTATCAATAATCTGCAACAGCCCCAAACAGACCCTAAGTCTAACAAAGTTCAAAGGTAAGAAGCCATGTCACAAAATCAAAGAGATTAGGAGCTGCAAGAGAAGAAGATAAAGTGCATTTATTGTCATCATCACCCTTTTAAAAGGTGACAATGAACCCTAACTATCACAGGGAGGGCAAAACCAGAAATAACCTTGAATAAAATGACAAGAAAAGACACAAAAAAAAATGGCACAAAAATTAAAAAAAAAAAGTTATTTTATTAATAATTTCGTTCCAGCTTAGCCCAAAGGAAAGAAATAGCTACAACGTTCCGACGCAACCTCAGCCTAAAATTCAAGGTTCTTCTTCTAGTCTCGCCATGCGAGATGACATGGCGCTTGCCTCCAAACCTTGTTGTTAGCCTACCTTGTGCGTGAAGAAACATTTGATTTCATCTGGGAGGCGAGCCAACACCTCGCATTCTACCAGAATGCCCTCAAAACTACTCAAGCGTGTCTCTGAAGGAGGAGGAACGTCCTTGGGAGGATTGACTCCCCCATCATCCTCGTTGGAAAGTCTTTTGTCTCCTTCTGCCACCCCTTTTTCTTCTTCCACTAGCATGGCCAGCCACAGCGTTGTACAAACTTAGCAGATCCTAATTTGCAACATAAGAAAATGGAAGAAGAAAATCCAGATATCATCAGCTTTTGTGAACAAGCTTTCTATGGCAACAGAGGGACCCAACTGCTCAGCTAAAGGTCATGGGCTTCATACTGGTTGGATGTCGCAACCACAGTTTGGGTAGATGGGCGTTCGGTCGTGACAACGGAAAAAAATTGCTTATGTCAATCGTATGCAGAGATGTGTACGTAATAGGGTACACGGGCGTTATATAGGGGTTACAAGCGTGTTATAACTTCCTTGTAACTTTCGTGTAACTCACCTGTAACCCGTGCTTTTATTTTATCTATTGGGGTTATAAGATTACAACGGGGTTACACGGGAGGTACAACGGGGTTATAAGCTAAAACCCCTTGTAACCCCCGTGTACCCTTTCACGTACGTAACTCCTGCGTACGCTTGACGTATGCAATTTTTTTCCCGTGACAACTAGATCAATATTTTCTAGATAGGGGTGTAAACGAGCCGAACACGAGCGAGCCCAGACTTAGCTCATGTTCGGCTCGTTTATATTTGGAGCTCAAAAAATGTGTTAGTGTTCAGCTCGTTTTTTTAGCGAGTCAAACATGAGTCATTCACGAACAAAGAGTCATTTTGACAACCCTAATCACGTAGTCATAAGATATTAAGTATTGGGGCAAGATTTAAAAATTATTATTTATATTAAAACATCATTTGATTCTAATTTAATAACTTTTATTCTATTTTCTTAATTAATAATTTTAATTGATTATAAATCTTTGTAGCCTTGTAGCCAATTTATTTTTTTTAAAACTATA